TTTGTGTGTGTGTGTTTGTGTCCATATATATGTTTCCTACATCAGTTTTTAGATTTTACACACAAAACAAATGACTACTTTATAAAATGTACATTCTCATACAAGTGAAACCTCCTCATATATATAAGTAAAATTTGCCACACCTGAACAAGCAAAAGGATTTCAATTCTTCTCTACCTATAATAATAATAATAGCAATAATAGCAATAAACACTGAAAACTGGCAGGAGTTAGCATTGTTATTGGATACTTTTACTTAGCAACAGGATGAAATTACTTCTTCCACCACTGATGCCAGAGCCTCGTCAGATGGTTAATAAGGTAATGTTAGTAACAGAGTGAGCTTCAGTCTACACCACTCCCACTTAGACTACACTGAATTCAGACAAGGAGTTAAAGAGGTAACAAATGATTTCTTTAGGCTCTCATATACTAAAAAACTTTTTCTTGCAACACGAATTTGGAGGGGGATGTTTACTTTAGATTACCTTTAAACATTTTAACTGGCATCTCTGCATAGATGAAATACATTTAACTGCAGGAACATTTCCTAGAACACGTTGAATGTGCTGAGATGCTGTTTTGCTATCTAAATAAAACATATGCAGTTGCTTTTTCTGTGAACTACAGGTCGGCATTTAAATGACCCAGCTAACATGAACCTAACAACTTAAAAGCAAAGCATGGATGAGAAAATTAAAGCCCAAGACGAGAAGGAAGAGCTGTGTTTTGCCGACTTTTTCATCTCTTAATTGTGACATATTGAGTTCATGCACAAAAATCCACTGGGAGCCAGCTAAATTAGACCAAACATAGTTAAACATGCATGTGTGCCATGCCTCAGACCTGCATACAAGCTAACGTTAACATTTTCCAGCAGCCTTCAAACAACCAGCCTGTAATTAGACACTATCATTACATTGTAGCTGAGCTTAGATCATCAACTGAGTCAGGAGCAGCACTCAAATTTAGTTTTAAAGTGTCTTCAGATGTTTGAGCTGTTACAAATCTTTCTGGGAAACAAATTTTTAACCAGCTTGTGCCCGATTGCTACAGCGTCTATAAGCTTAAGACACATTTTGGACACTTTTAATGTAATCTGACCTGTTAGACTGCCAAACAGTAACACCTCTGATGGTGAACATGACTCTTTCTTATACAGCCTGCACCACCAGGTGGGACTAATTAGTTTAAGTTGCTCAGCAGCAAGGGTGACTCAGCTAAAACACAGAGCCCACCATGCAGTTTATTTAAAGTAGTTTTAATTCTTCTTGAGTCATGTCAAGTGGTTTCATTTAACTGGGTTGCCAGCATAGCTGTCAATTTACCACAAATTATAAGATGGACATAAAAAAAACTCCCCTGCAGAAGTTAAGACTGCCATAAAATTGTGCTTTTGTGAGTGTAAATGGAAAATGTTCAGACAAATGGAGCAGCATAAAGGTTCTACTTCACCTTGCTGCAGTTGCAGAGCAAAATCCGTACAACACTCATGAAATGACAGGAAAGACGACGAGCCTTTGAATCATTTTTCCTCCCATAAAGGCAAAACCTCAAAACCCAGTTTCCGCTGACTGGCTGCTTTTATTCCCTCTTGGATGCAGAGCAGCAGAGGCAAACCGGTTCAGGAGGGACGAGTCTGGGAAAACTGCTGCACTCATCCCGCAAACTGGCCAAACCATCAACTTGCCATGCTTTCTGCATGATGTTGACTGCACTGACCAAAAATTAGGGTATGGAGAGCCACTGTGAAATTTTGATGCAATTATATTATCTGTGACACATCGGTTTTTTTTGTTTCAATGCCTGGCAGTGACGCTAGTTGCTTCACCAGCTGGAGATCTGGAAGCAAGTCGAGTTGGTCTTTTAGTAAATCAATATGTGCAGTTAACCAGTGAGGAAAAAGAGACTGCGTTTGCTTCATAAGCTGCCAAACTTATATATCAGAGATAAAACTAGAGCTGATTTTATTCATAAGGATAATTCTGGATATTTATAGCAATGCTAAGATATTTTTTACTGAAGTAACTGTTTTTGTTTGGGCTGACTGCTCTTTTAATGGGGCCTATTATTCTATTATCATATATTCCAGCTCCATATTGTTCCTCTTGGACTCTTGGAGAGCACCACTGCATGATTCACAGCTCAAAATAATCTTGGTGCAACACTTCAGTTCATGTAGTGTCTGAAACAAGCCGTTTCAATTGAGTTCAAATAATTAAATGTATATAGCGCCAATTCACAACAACAGTTGCCTCAAAGCACTTTATAGTATAAGGTAAATTCCCAAGAATATTAGAAGGAAACCCCAACAATGAAACGCACTCCTATGAGCAAGCACTTGGCGACAGTGGGAAGAAAAAACTTCCTTTTAACAGGAAAAGCAACCAGGGGCAATGATGGGCAGCCAAATTTAGTGCTGTGTGATACTGCAGATTTTGATATTGATCCGATACCAAGTATTGCCGATACCAATACTTTAAACCTATAAAAGCAGCTTATGAAGGTGAGAACAGCGTGTCATTATTTCTTAAATGAATCATCATTAATTTGCCAATTGAAAAAGTAAAGTTTTGAGCCTAATCTTGAAAGTACTAAGTGTAAAGTGTAGCTAAGAAAACAACGTACTATGAAGTTTTTGCTCCTTCTGGGCAGTTGGGCCTGAAATGCTTTAGTAATAAACAAATTAAGCTTACAGTTAAAGCATTGCAGCAAGAAGCAAATCTTATGCAGTAATAAGCTGAGAGGTTAAGGAAGAAAAAACTAGCTAAACATCTTAAACCACATCACAAATAACCAAATTAAAACCATGTATATGTGATTAAGCACGATTGGGGTAATTTAACCAGTATATTGATAGGTAAGTAGTGAAGAAACTGGGATGTCTAATGCAAAAGAAGGATAGATTTACAGACTGGTAAAGTGATAAATGTAAGGTGCTTTTTACCTTCCTGCAGCCCTGTATAATAGATGTTTCAAAGCTTTTTTTCTGCCTTTGTCAGTTTCTACAGTTGTTCGCAAATGAGGTCATAATTGAAACATGAAAAATTGATACACAACGCAGGTGTGACACAGTGCCAGTGCATAAAATGTCAAATGAGGTGAGTGAGGACTTTGTTGAGACTACCCAGTCCATGTTGGCTCCTGACGAGCCATTTCTTTCTCCACATGGTTGCCCAGACACTTTGGAAAGACAGACTCATTTGTCTGAAGGTTTTCAGTTTTGGAGAGCTCTGTGTCTGGGCTTCTGTAAAATAATATGGCTATTTTCAGCCTCACGAATCATCCAAGCAGACTGTAACCACCACCGTTATTAATGCTGCCAAAAGCCAGAGTACTGTCGCTTCTCTGACATTAGACTGTATGTATGAAGCCTGCTGTGAACGAGCATTGCTGTTCTCCTAATGCAAGGCTCCTGTTCAAGCTTATGTAACACTTTTTAATTGAAATTATAAATAAGCTTCAGATACTAATTATCTACCTAATGTTTTGTGCTTCTAACAGCAAAAGGTTTGCGTTTCCATCTCCAGTCTGATAATGACTCTACAGTCAGAGCCAGATGATTTAGCAGTGGCAGAAAATGTGTTTCTTACAATAAGCTGCTTTGGTTTCCATTTATATTATTCTTTCTATGATATAGTCAAGAGCATTCATAACCATTTAAGAAGTTTCAAAAAATTTTATTGGCAAATAATAGAAATTTGCACCAGTGCCAAATGTTCTGGTGATGACTTTAGCCATTTCCATGAAGGAGGGGATTTTCTCAACCCAATCGCTCAACCAAGAGAATCAAAGTTCCTGGTTTTATGTGATTTTATGTTCTGTAGCCATGTCAGCATAATCATGTAAGAGGGGAGCAGAGAAAAGTGCTTCAACTGCCCATTGTTTCTTCGTTTAGGTAGCCAGATTTTCTTGACATTTTTAAAAGTGGTCTTGAGAAACAGTTCTCCAGGCTTTCCAAAGGTCTTTCAATGTTTTTCTTTGGACATTGGCTGATTTTTCCCTCATTTTCAGTTCAGTCCTTGTATCTAATTATTTTCAGAGAAGTGTTTTTTTTGGTTGTTGAGCTACTTAACACTGACCTATGAATCATTCAAGGATAAAAAGGCATCTGACTCAAGGGATCCAATTATTGTGGTCTGTACATATAAGCAACTTACCTCTTGGCCATTCAGTTTATCAATCTATTGTTCACTGAAGCCTCACCAGATAGAAGGGAAACGGCAAGAAAAGAAAAGGCTGAGGTATGTCAACTTACACAAGAACTGGACCAAAAATAAATGGCAACAGGTCTTAGGAAATGAAAAGTTTTGGTTCAAATCAATGTGTATGGAGGACGTCAGAAGAGCAGGACAACAGTGACTGTCTAAAGGGACCCAAACACAAACCCAATGCAGCAAAAGCATAGCTGGATAGATAAACTTTCGCTATCAGTCGTGGTTCGGCCTCCCTTGGAATCCGGACCCCCAAATTACTGAAGATGTGTGGGATCATTTTGACAGAGAGCAGAACAAAAGGCAGCCAACACCCAAAGAAGAGCTTTGAATGTCCTTCAAGAAGTCTGGAGAACAGGCTGTGTTGAAGAATAAAGGAAGTCGCACCAAACATTGACTCGAGCTTGTTAGAATTATACAAACTGTGTCTTATGTACTGCATTTTCATGTATGTTTGCATGTTTCAGTAAATTGCTGCAAGAATTCCCTTTCTACTGTCTGTGCTTCTGTTATCACTCATCCTTCATTTGAGCTCGACAACATCAGTTGTCCCACCCATGATGCCGATTGGCTAATCATTAGCTTTGACTGTTGAAAATCTGCATAAACTAATTTTTAGTCACACGAGGGAGCGTGTCTTAAACACCAATATTATTACCTCATAGGTTTGTATCCAAACAAGTTTGACACAAACTTAAGATGGGCAACAAGGATCATTGGGGTTTTTTTTGTATGAAATCTTTAAACTTTGCACCCCGTGATTGTGATTTTCCACATGAAAATGCAAACACTTTAGTCTGACATTTATTCACAACACTATAAAGAAACAAAGTGACACCTAAGTGAACTGCAGTCTGACTTCACTTCCTCATATTGTTTTCTTAATCATTTTCATGGTGCAGCAGTTTGTTAAGAGTCCGTACAGCCTCCACTTGGTATCTTCACAGTCTCTGTTTGACCTGACCTTCTGCTCAACTCCAGAACAAGGTATGTCCAGAGTTCCTGTGAAAACTGGTCAGCACAAAGGGGAGGCTAAGCGTCTCTGATTTGTCTGGTCAGTACCAGTAGGACGTTCGGTGCCTCCTGTTCTCCTGGATACCGAGTTTCTCCATGACCTCCTCCTCCAGGGTTTTCAGAGATGGTATGTATGTCTTTTCAAGAGCATCTTCGGGACTGGTATCTTTAGGTCCATCTGTGAAAGCAGAATGCATCGTTTCAATTGACACCAACTATTTTTTCAATCATCAGACACTTCTATCACTTTGTTGGACAAACAGAAAACTTTTAGTTTCACGCAAGAAGAACTTGAAATAAATAGTGTACTGGTTCTGCACTAGCAAAAACAGTCCTGCCTATGTGCGTTCAAGTTTAGAAAGAAATATTTCTTCCACTTCAAAACAGTCGAACTGGATCACTTAAAAACAGAGGTCTGAACAGGCGGAAAAATAAACAACAGCTGGTCTTAATGTGACGACTCTAAGCAACCCCTGAAATAAAATGGCTACTGAAATTTACACACACACACACACACACACACAGACCCTTACCTTTCCACTGCTGCGGCACAATGCCATCTCGTCGCTCCACAACTGGTTTCGGGATGATTCTCCCCGTCCTGAGCGACACTCGGACTCTATCACCCTCTTCTGTGAACCTCCACTCGACCTCAGTGGGTTTCCTGTAAGATCGAGATCAGTAAGTTAAAACTGGTCTGGAAAGATGCCAAAGAGCAGGAGCATTTAAATGGAAAAGGAAAGAAAAAAAAAAGGTGAACTATTTTTTGACTTTAGATTGCTGTGTTATCACAATTATTTTAATGGTGCTGTAAAAGAAAAGAAAATTGTACAGATGCACAGAGATTAAAGATTGCTGTTTTTTCACTAGAAAATCTTATGTTAAAATCTATTACAGCTGTAAGTTTTAACACTTACAGTTACAAAAATTAACTATTTTTTTATTTGTTTTTTGTTATTTGCCAAACTAAGACTGAGAGCTAACCCGTGGTCCATCTATTTTAAGGTTCTGCATAAGCATAGCAACAGATGTTAGGACTGAGGCAGAGTTCAGCATACCTGTCTGAGGGGTCAACGAGGGCAACATCACGGACCAGGATGGGAGCCTCACTGGCAATGTACGTCCCACGGTAATCTGCAGTTTTTCCAATATACCTGTGATGCTACGATGGGAAAAAAAAGTTCACAGTTCTCCCATTTAAAAGGCACAAAATGCAAACAGATGAAGGCCAAAAGGCTTTCAATGGTGCGCTTTGTCTGCAGCTACACCCTGACCACCCACATCCCAGACATCTGGCTCCACCTGGTGGAGGAACAAGATAAGTATGAAGCATTTTTAAAAGAGCTAAAAAAGAAATGGAACAGCTAATTTAATTTTGGGGGAAATGAAAAAATCTGTAATGTAATCATGTCCAGGACAGTTCAAGTGTATGCTGAAACTTTTTTGTAGGAATACATCTTCTCCCAACACTTACACAATGCTCACTCAATAAAAGGCATGTAACTTACATTTCAACAGCAAAATCTATAATGCACATATTAATTTCTCAATAAACAAATAAAAAAACAACACTTCCTTACTGTGTTCAGTCCCTCCAGGATGACCCAGTTTCTGCGTCTGAAGACTTGAATAACTTTCCCCTGCTTTCCCTTGTCATTGCCTTTCAGAATCTCAACCTGAGAAATTGAAAGCAAACATTTAAACTCTATGTAGGAAATTTACCACTTTAAATAAAATGAATATACTTTTTTGTTACTGTACCACTTTTGCTGGTTTGGCCAGAAAATATTTTACCAATTCACTGACTGAATTTTCCTAAATTAGTTTTCATGTTTACAACAGATGTATGTTACTTCTCCTGACTCTATCAGTTGTGGCTACACCAAAGTAATTACAACATTATTAGCATTAGCTGTATTACAGATTAAAACTTTATCAACATACAGATAAATCACATGAACACATACTGGACTTAATTTTTATATTATCCTCATTATCTGTTGCCTTGTATAGATTTTTTTTTCTACTATGTATTGCAAAGCTCTGTGTTTCTTCTTGGTTTTAGAACATATAAATGGTGAGTGGACTGCTTCTTATATTGTGCTTTTCTATTAGCACTTAATTGTGGAGTGAAAGTTTGGAAAGCTTTACACCAAACCGTGAACATTAGACAATTTAAACCTATCAATATAAAGAAAAATATTTGCGCAATATGAGTCAGATGAAAGCTTGACAGCTGTGTCCCAAAAGATGTTTTCTCACCGTGTCCCCTTTGAGCACAGACCACTCCTCTGGCGCTATCGGCTCAACAAACACCTTCCTCCTCCTCTTCCCCGGTGGATTTAACCTTTTAGCAGCGGCTGTCCACGGCCTGTTGGTGCCGTAACGGTAATCTTTGGGCACAATGACCCTGGCTGCCATCGACAGCAGAGCGGTCAGCCTCATTGTGCTGCAAGTGAAACAAGGGTACTGAGTTGTTTTTTTTTTTTCCAAGAGGCTAGCAGCCATACACACAAGCAACGCAAGCTAGGCTAATAAGAATTATGCTATCAGTAACGTTAGCCTAGAGCGGCTAACTCGCCGCCGTTTTCGTACACACAAACATTTCACAAATGAGACATCTGCCTAATTTTTTAAGTACAACCCTAAAAGTAGATGTATTAAAATACAATAAAAGAAAGTCATGCAGAAATCACTTACCCTCTGTTGATGTCAATGACACATGTAGCGGAGCTGACACCTACAGGAACCTACCGGTAGCGCCACCTACTGGACAGGAGGGTCGCAACAGGGCTCACGCATGCGCAGTTGCTAAATTGACCGATATGTGGGCAGGATGCAGGCATAGCAAGCCGCTTTGGGCAAGATGACCTTCACACTGCTACAGCTGCTGCTCAGTATATTCAAACCATACAATACTAAGAGGACTCAATAAAGAACGCAATATCTTATTACCTTTTTAAATAAAAGATAACACCAAGAGAAAACGTTTTAAAATTAAGTAAGGCAAATGTGTCTAAGACAATTAAACTTAAAATGTTTTTGAATGAATGCCATTTTCAAAAATTCCAGCACAAAACATTAGCAATGTGTATTTTTAGAAAACAAATTTTTAAAAACTGACTTTCAGATTTTAGATACATACATACATATATATATATA